TTCCCCAAAATTGCCCAAAATTGCCCAAATTTGCCCGAGGCCACCCTCGGAAAATGGGCCCAAAAGGACCCGAAATTGGTTGCCCCCCCCCCCCCCCCGCCCCGCCGCAGGAGTGGAGCATCGAGTCTGGAGGGACGCGGCTGGCTTCGCGCCAGCAGGTGCCACTCAAGCTTGGGTGGGCAATCTCGATCCACAAGTCGCAAGGCATGACTCTGCCCAACGTCGAGATCGACCTCGGCCGCTGCTTCGACCCGGGGGGGGGGCACACAACCCCCCCCCCCCCCACACACACACACACCACCCCATCCCTCCTCCCCTCCCTTCGCTCCCTCCCTCCGCTCCCTCCCTCCCGCTCCCTGCCTCCCTCCCTCCCCCCAAAGCACTCTCGCCGCGCCTGGCCCAACCAGCGCCACTCTTCCTGATGAGCAGGCACGCGTACGTCGCTCTTTCCCGCGCCGAGTCGCTCGCCCGCGCGCGGCTCCTCCCCCCTAGATGCTGAACAATCCTCGCACACACAGCGTGTGCATGTGGCCTCTCCTCCCCCCTAGATGCCGATCTCGAACCATCCTCGCACACGTACACGTAGCATGCGCATCCTCTCGAGCCCTTGCGTTCAAGCCCCGATGCGAGGACCACACACCGCACGAGAGAACATGTCCGTACGCTCGCCTGGATACACGTTCGTTTTGAATATGGTTGGTTTACACGCGGCCTCGTCGCCCTCTCCGCTAGGCGCCTCTCCTCCACACCTACTCTTCACACCCCACTCTTCACACCCACTCGTCGCCCTCTCCGCTAGGCTCCTCTCCTTCGACCCCGGCCGCGTGCGCGCTCACCCAAAGGTGGCTGATGCCGCTGCCAGCCTCACCGCATCCCTCGCCGCCTCCGCTCCCACCGCCGCCCTCGCCTCCCCGGCCCCCTCTCCCCCCCCCCACCCCCGCGTTGCGCGCGTCAGTGGTCGGCCTTCTACACGGATCTGCCGCCACACAATCGCTCCTTTGTCGCCACAGGTGGTTGCCTTCTACGACCGGATCGAGGCCGAGCAGCGGCAGCGCTCGCTCGAGGCGCAGCGGCGCGCCGCCCCCGCCAGCAGCGCCGACGCCCACCCGGCCGCCTGCCCGCCCGCCCTCTGGGCCCCGCCTGGTGCGGCCGGCTCCGCCGCCCCCTTCCCTGGCTCTGGCCACCGCGCCGCCGCCGGGCCTGCCACGGCCGGTGGCGGCGGACTGGCTGGGGGCGGCGGCGGCGGCGGCGGCGGCGGTCTGTCCGAGGAGCAGAAGCGGCGGATCGAGGAGAACAAGAGGCGCGCCATGGCGCTCCGTGCAGCGCAGAGGGGCTGAAGCAGAGCGCTGGGCTACGGCCTGTGCTGCGCGGTCCCACAGGGGGCGCCCGTACTGCGCCCCAACGGCTTTGGGGCGGCCGCTGACGACATGGGCAAACTTACAGCGCTCTCACACACGGACACTCGAGTCTTGTCTCCTGCACTGCGCTCTCCACTCTTTCTCGCACAATGCCAGGCGGCGTTTCTTTTTCTCGTTCACCGTAAAATCCGCCGACTTTCGAGTGCAATGCTCGCTCTCGCCATTACGACGCGCTCGCACCACGCCGCTCACGTGCCCGCGGGGCGTGGAGAAGCAATCGTCACGCGCAACCTCACCGGCATATTTGCCACCGACGTGCTGGCGCCCGCACCGCGCGGGCTCAAGAAGCCCGCCGATCTCCGCGAGGACCTCCTCGTCTGGGAAACCTCCATCCTTCTGGGCCCGATTTATTCCTGCGACTATCACTTTCCCTCGGTCGGCCAGCACGGAGAGCCGGCGGCGGAAAAAACCGCCGGCAGCGAGCCGCCGGCCGACTCACCGCGCATCGAGAACCAGGCAACGCGTAGGGCGACCAACACTGAGCCCGACCGCCGCGCCTCCGTGACGTTCCTCTTTTCTTGCGCGTTCATGCTGGCTGCGCTGAGCCTCGCGGCGTGCCGCGGGCCGCTGCGTGGGCGGAAGGAGAAGAAGAGCATGCATGGCCGCACCCGCGCAGCTGGCGCTGTGCACTTGCTCGCCAGCACACCTGCTTTCCGAGTTGTGGCGCTCCTCTTCTTCCTCCAGGACGCGCGTGGCACACAAGCGATCGCGCCGCCGCTGTCTCCGCCGCAATCCCCACCGCCACTGCCGCTGGCCCCGCTGCCCCCGCTCCCCCCAAATGCCTCCGCGGCGACCGAGGCCGAGCAGCTCCGCTCCCTGATCGAGGAGGCTACTGCCGACTTATCCGTCTACCTGGCGCCGGGTGCACACCTCGAGCTGAGCGACCAGATCATCTGCACCTCCAGCATCACGGTGACCGTCGCCAGCAGCGGCGAGGGCGCGACGCTCGACGGCCAGGAACAGACTGGGCTCTTTTACCTCCGGGGCGGCTGCAGCCTCACCCTGCGGGGGCTGACCCTCGTCAACGGGAAGGGGGGTTACGGCGGCGGCGTTGTGTTCGCGAACGGCGCAGGTGACGTCGAGATCATCGGCTCGACCGTTACGGACTGCTCCGCTGCCTATGTGCGCACAAAGCTGGAGGAGATATATATAGAGAGAGGGACACGGCTGTGACCCGCTCTCTCCTCGCAACCGCAGTACGGCGGCGTCGTCTACGCGTGGAACAGCGGTGCGGTCTCGATAATTGACTCGACCGTGACGAGCTGCTCGGCTGGCCAGGTGCGCCGCGCAGAGCTAGTCGCCTCCAGTAGCGCCACACAGCAGCGGGGCAAGAGATAGAGAGGAACACCGCTGCCTCACCCCACTCTCTCCTCGCAACCGCAGTACGGCGGCGTCGTCTACGCGTATATCAACAGCGGTGCGGTCTCGATAACCAACTCGACCGTGTCGAGCTGCTGGGCTGGCGGGGTGCGCCGCGCAGAGCTAGCCGCCTCCAGTAGCGCCACACGGCAGCGGGACGAGAGATGAATAGGGCCAGGCTTGCCTGACCCCGCTCTCCTCGCAACCGCAGCTCGGCGGCGTCGTCTCTTCGCTTGATAGCGGTGCGGTCTCGATAACCGACTCCACCGTGAGGAATTGCTCGGCTGTCGTGGTGCGCCCATTAGAGCTAGCCGCCGCCCCTGCAGCGCCTCACAACAGCGGGGCGAGAGATGCAGAGGGCCAGGCTTGCCTGACCGCTCTCTCCTCGCAACCGCAGTACGGCGGCGTCGTCTACGCGGAGGACAGCGGTGCGGTCTCGATAATTGCAATAATCAACTCCGCCGTGACGGGTTGCTCGGCTGGCCAGGTGCGCCGGTAGAGCTAGCCGCCTCTCTGCAGCGCCGCACGGCAGCGGGAGAGAGACAGAGGGCCATGGCTGCCTCACCCCGCTCTCTCCTCGCAACCGTAGTGGGGCGGCGTCGTCTACGCGCAAGGGAACAAGTTCCTCTCTATTGCGGGTGTCACTTTCATTGACAATTCGGCGTCCATCGCATCGGTGCTGTTCCTGTCAGACATCGACCACCGCTCCTCGATCAGCAACGCCTCCTTTACCAGCAAGATCGCCGACAACGGTATTACGATACAGACTTTGAACTCGGAGATCGACTGGGTTTGCCGCCTTGGCAGCTATATGTCGACCACCGGCCAATTCATTGGCGACCTCAGCGCGCCCGAGTGCTACCCTTGCTCCGCTGGCTACTACGGGGACACGAGCAGCCTCACCAACTCCTCCTGCAGCGGGCAGTGCACCAAGGGCCACTTCTGCGAGGCGGGGACCGGGCAGCCCGAGCCCTGCCCGGTCGGCACTCGCATGCCCGCCCTCGGCGCGGCGAGCAACAAGAGCTGCATCCCCTGCGCTCCGGGCCAGCATCAGCCCCTCGTGGGAGAGGAGGAGTGCCTGCCTTGCCCCGCCGGCAGCTTCTCTCCTGAGGTTGGCCTCGCCGTTTGCGACCCCTGCCCGCGTGGAGGCTTCTGTAGCCAGGCAGGCGCCGCCACCCGAATGGTGTGGGAGGCCTGTCCGCCCGGCAGCTTCAACCCGCGCAACGGCTCCAACTCGAGCGCGGCGTGTGAGCTCTGCCCCACCGGCACATCGAGCGCAGCCGAGGGAGCCTACAGTGGCGGCGCGTGCGCGGCGTGCCGACCGGGTACCTTCGCCGCAGAGGCTGGCCTCGCCGAGTGCGAGCCGTGCAAGGCGGGATCCTACCAGAACGCCTCGGGCGCTGCCGGCTGCGTTGCGTGCGGGCTTGGCAGCTTCTGCCCCGTCGGCGCGTCGCTCGAGCTGCCCGCGGCGTGCGAGCCGGGTACATACGCCAATTTCACGGACGGTGACGGCTTGCCCGACTGCTTCGACTGTCCGGCGGGCTCGTCGTGCGGCGGCGGCGCTGCGCCGCCGGCAGAGTGCTCACCGGGCTCCGTCGCCGCCACGCCTGGCCTCGCCAAGTGCGAGCGATGTGAGCCCGGCACCTCTTCCAGCGCCGGCAGCGACGCGTGCGACGAGTGCGCTGCCGGTTACTACGCCATCAACGCCGGCCAGGGCCTGTGCATCCCATGCCCTCATCCCCTCAGCTCGGTCAACGGCAGCAGCACCTGCTCGTTTTGCATGGACGGCTACTACCTACTGAATTCGACTGCCGACCCGAACGACATCTTCAAATCCCCGACCGAATACTGCAAGCCTTGCCCGCCGAACGCTGTCTGCCCGGACAACACCACCCTTGAGACCCTCATCCTTACGCCTGGCTTCTGGCGTGCGAGCCCCTCCTCCGCCGTGCTGACAGAGTGCGGCCCCTTTGGCGGCGATGAAAACGCCAGCAAGACGCGATGCGCCGGCAGCGAGTCGACAGGCGCCTCTCGCGGCCGCCGAATGGCGGAGGCGGGTTCGGAGTACTGCGCTTCGGACTTCAAAGGCCCCGAGTGCCAGCTCTGCGTCCATGACAATCACTACCTCGCCGACGGCGACGAGTGCAAGGAGTGCGTAGCGCGCGGCACGGCGACGGCAAGCATCGCCTCTATCGTCTTCACTCTCCTCGTCGCCTGCGGCCTCGCAGCATGGGCTTACAGCATGCCGTGGCGGAAGGAGCCCTACATCGGCTCTATCCTTCGCTTCGCGGACAGCGCTGTTGCGTATTACGTCGAGGTCGGCCTCACGCCAAAGCTCAAGATCCTCCTCAGCTTCTACCAGGTCTGCATTGTGCTCCCCACCACCTACTCGGCGCGGCTGCCGGAGAAGTACACGGACTGGACCAACGCACTCTCCGACGTCATCTCCGTCGACTGGTCCGACTTAATCCTTCCGGCCCAGTGCATGCCGTACGCCAGTCGGCTCGTCGTCTTCGCTACCTCTCCCATCGGCCTCATCGTGCTGCTGCTGCTGGCGGGCGTCGGATTGCGGCTCTGGCGCAGGCGTGCTGCGAGAGGCGGCGCGGACATCGGTGAGGGCGAAGCATCGGCGTCGGCTATGCGTATAGACGAATCGCGGGTCTCTGCATCGGCGAGATCTTGGCTTGCGGAGGCAGTCCTCGGCCTTCTTGATCTCACGCCCGCCTGTTTGGTGCTCATCTTCTTCTTCGTGCCTTCTGTCAGCGTCTCCATCTTCCGCTCCTGGTCGTGCCATGCCTACACCATCTCTCCGCCGAACGAGCGCCTGGAGCAGGTCTCCTACATGCGGCAGGACGCGAGCGTCGAGTGCGGCACAGACGATCACGGGCCCATCAAGAATCTCGCCATCGGCTTCGTCGTCGTCTGGCCGGTCGGCTCGCTAGTCCTCTACTCGGCCCTCCTTCTCGCCTGCCACAAGCCGTTGCAGGCCAAGACGCCGAATGCTCTGACACGGGCGACCGCCTTCCTCCACCAGGAGTACGAGCTGACCTACTTCTGGTGGGAGGCGCTCGAGCTGGCCCGCAAGCTCGTGCTGACCGGCTTCGTGCTGCTGATACCGGAGGAGGAAGGGTTTCGCCGCCTCATGGTGGCGACGGTCATCTGCTGCTTCTACGCCGTCGTGCTCGCCGTCGTGCGGCCGTACAAGAGGGTGGAGGACGACTGCCTTGCTGTCGCCACGAGCCTTGTGCTCCTCCTCTTCTTCCTCGTCGCCAATTGGACCACTATTTTCCTTGCCATCAAGGAGCGCTCCGGGATCGATGACGCCGATGCAGTCCTCGGGATCGACAAGCTGGATGGGGTCGTAAATGGGATGATCGTCCTCGTGGCCTTTGCGCTCTTGATCTTCCTCGTCGGTGCCATCGTCGCCGCCCGCCGCGTCGCCATGGTCCCCACGATTCGGCTCGTGTCGGACAGGCAGCAACCTGAGCTGACGCTGGCGCGAGGCCACACATGGCACCTCTTCAACAGCCACATATGGTGTGCGCAGCATGGAGGGAGAAGACGACTTTACAATCCCCCCAAGAACCACCACCCCCGGCATCCAATAGGTCAACTGGGCAAGACGCCGCCGCTGTCATCAAGAAGCAGCTGCAGCTGCTGATTCCGGACATCAAGATCTTCCTCGACGTGCGCCGATAGATCTAGCAGAGTGTTCCCACGTACAGCCCAATCTCTGACACCCCTTCCTGCTTTCCTTCAAATAGGTGGACGATCTCAAGAGCATCGGGGCGCTCGAGGAGTACATCAGCCGCTCTCAGGTGGTCCTCTTCTTCCTCTCGCTTGGCTACTTCGGGAGCAAGAACTGCGAGCGGGAGGTGCGCGCGTCGCTCGACCGGCAGAAGCCGCTCGTCCTCGTGCAAGAGGCGGACCCGAAGAAGGGAGGGACGCTCGAGGCGCCGCCGAGTAGCCGCCAAGCCCCCGCCCACCCCGCTTCTGTAACCCGCGTGATCTGCAAGCGTCTCCCTGTGTGTGCTGGGTTGCAGGTGCTGCGCGCGGAATGCCCGGAGGACCTGCGAGCGGCCATCTTCGACAAAGGCTGGCCGATGACGACGTGGCACCGCATCGAGGCATTTCAGCGCGTGTCGCTCAAAACCATCGCCGAGGCACCGCCCTCACCCCCCCCCCCCCTTTCCATTTGCCCCCCCCCCCCCCCCCCTCGTGTCGAGCCATCGCGGTTGCCACATAGGCGCTGCTTCTCTGCTCGCCTAACTACGAGGCACTGAGCAAGGAGCAGATGCGGCTCTACGTGCCTGGCGAGGTGCAGCGCGAGGCGCTCGCCTTCCCCAAGCCGGTGGTGCTCTGGGCTTCGCCGGCCAACGCGGGCGCGGCGGAGCTGGCCGACGAGCTCACGGCCAAGTTCGGCAGAAGCAGCCTCACCGTCTCGACGGCGGAGGAGCCCTGCTCGTCCGACTCCCGGGCTTCTCGCCGCCGCTCCAGCGTCCTTCGCCGCTCGGCGCCGCGCCGTGCCGGCGACGCGACGCACATGCTGCTCTACCTCAACGAGCACACCTTCGTCAGCGACGAGCGGCTGGCCGAGCAGGTCAAGCAGGCCCGCGCAGACAGGCTGCCGATCGTGCTGGTGCACGAGAATGACCCGGCGCTCGGCGGCTGTCCGTTTGACTACTTTTTTCAGACCACGCCGCAGGAGCTCATCGCCGGCCTCGACGGGCACGCCGGCCTGTACAAGGCGCTCGCCATGTCCTTCTTCCCAGGAGCACATCGCGAGGCGCGTCCCCCCTTGGCGCAGTCCCCGCCTCCCACAATCTCCAGGTAACAGCTGCCGGCAATCCTCTGCAGGTGTCGCTCATGCTTCTGGCCAAGGAGCTCGGCGCGACGCCGCTGGACGGAGGGGCGAGCGCCCTCGTCCGACGCTTTGGATGGGGCCGCCGGCGCCCCTCGGCGGTCGGCGTTGGAGGCGGCGTCGTGTAAGCCACGAGAGCCGCCCCGGCGCGATGGAGCGTAGCAGTACACTTGACGGGGTCTTGTGTAACGCCGTACCGTGTCACTGTGCACTGATGGGGCGGAGTGTGCGGACTGCGATTTTTGGGGGGGCTGGCGAATGGCAATGTGTACCGCGGAGACGGTATTGAACCGTAAACACTGCTCTACGGCTTTAGACTGTAGCGGTGTAGGACACTGTGCACGTCTCTCTCTACCCCCCGCTTTTCGCTCTCCGACCCCAAGACCTCTCATGCAAATTTCAATCCTCCGCCTCGAGGTATGTCCCCTCGGCGCAAGTCGGCCCCGCCTCGCCCTCGGCGCAGCCAGCGGCGTCACCGGCGGTCAGCTCGGCGAGGGCATGCGTCGCGAGCTCGACGTGCAGCGCCGCGCCTGTGCCCAAACTACCAGCTGTAAAGTGACGACCCTCCCTACCCACTCCCTCGCAAGCCCCAAGCCCAACCGGGCCGAATCTCCAAATCTGGGCCGGAATCTGGGCCGGATCTCGGCTACCTCTCGCGCCGAGGTGCAGCTGCCCCTCGTCCATCTGGAAGCGGCCGTTGTGCAGGTTCACGTCGGTACCTGCTCACAGCCGGAGCCGTCGAAGAGAGGCAACGACTTGTGCATCCCCTTACCGACGTCGCGGTGCCGAGCGAGCGGTTGCCGATGCCAAGAAAGGCCATCGCGCCGGGCCGGTGGGCGAGGAGGTACCTGCGCAAAAGCGGTGTGGTGGCAGACGTAGGGACAGTGTGAAAGACTCTCTTTCTTCTTCCGAGTCGCCAGGCCAACAGAGCAGCGGCGGCGGAGCTGCTCTCTGTGGCATCTGGCGCGGAGGCACGCAAAGTCCTCCCCCCCCATCGTCGGCTCCACCTCGACGAACGACTCGGCCCCCACCAGCGCCTCCGCCGCCCGCCGCACGGTCGTGTGCCCCGCCTGCTCTCAACGCGGCCTGCGTGAGTGCGGTAGAGGCACTGGCAGCCCGCCGCGGTGGAGTCCCGCACGCCTGTGATACCGAATCCTCAGTGAGGCGTCAGCCCTCTGGTAAGCCCGCTGCCCCGGCTGTCCGCCCGCCTCGGCGTTGACGGTCGGCGGGAAGGTGCAGGGGCCCGGCGCGCCAGGCGGCGTCACCGCGGCGGTGAGGCAGTCCTCCTACAGGAAGGTTCGTGGAAGGTTCACAGAAGCGTCTCAGCTGCCGCGGCGGGCGAGAGTACCCTGCTCTCTATAAAAAAAGAAAAAAACGACTGCGGCGCCGCAGCCTCGGTGGGAGAGAGCGTGAGCTCTCGGCCAAGCTCGGCGAGCTCTCGGCGCGATCTCCTCGATGGAGGAGAGCGTGGCGTTGACACTGCAGCCGCCGAGCGCCGCCGCGCCCCGCAGCACCGCCTCGACCTTCTCGTGCAGGAAACGGTACCTGTTCACGGCTCTGAGCTGTGAAGAGACGGTGCTCACAGCGCCGCCTCCCTGCCCTCCCACAAGCAGGATTGTACCTGTCCACGGCTGAGGTGTGAAGAGACGCCGCTCACAGCGCCGCCTCCCTGCCCTGCCGTGGGCAGGTCTGAAGCACACCCTTCCTTGGAGAGCGAGCGGATGGTGCCGCCGAGCTCGACGCGGCCTGTTGCCAGGCGGGCGGTGTCGCGGCTACCTCGGCGACACCTCGGCGACATCTCGACTAGACCTCGGCTGCACCTCGGCTGCACCTCGGCTGCACCTCGGCTGCACCTCGGCTGCACCTCGGCTGCACCTTGGCTGCACCTCGCCTAGACCTCGCGATATCTCGGCGACATCTCGGCTACACCCAAGCGCGCCTGGGATGATGTTATAGGCCGACCCGCCATGCACGAACGTCGTCGACACCACACCGGCCTCCACCGGCGCGAGATTGCGCGAGATGACTGTCTGAAGACCTTGCAGCGCTGCCGCCACGCACCTGCACAGCACGGACGCGCCAACAGTGCAGACGCAACGGCGGTGCGAGCGTGCGGTGCCGTGCGGTGTGGTCCGAGCATCGCGTGCAAGCAAGGGCTGCGAGTCTAGCATCGGCGGCTGCGCGACTGCGCGTCCTCTCGAGCGCCAGCTAGACTACACCCGTCGGGCGACACTGGACACATCCTACTCATCTTCTCGAGTACCCACGCACATGAACGGGTCCACGGTCGTGTGCGGCATCGCCGCGTGCCCTCCGTGCCTACGGCGCGCGCCCACGACACGTCCACGACGCGTCCACGACACGTCCGCACCGCCGCGTGCCGCGCGTGCCCGACAAACTCGGCGTGGTAGAAGCCTGTGGAAGCGGGAGGACACGCCGCTGAGCGCGCGGCGCAATAACACGGCGAGAGACGGGCTACGAGCCTGCGTACAGGCAAGTCACCCGAGGGGAGTCCCCGTCGGGTGAGAGTGCGATGCGACCAATCACAGCAGCACGGCTGTCCGGAGAGAGTGGCAGCAACAGTGCTGGGGATGGCGCCGAGCAAGCCGCTGCGTGGACTTCTCTCACTCCACATCTAGGGCGTATATGCGGTGGGATGCCGCCGCGTAGCGCTGCTGGACGGCACAGGGCTGTAATGCAACATCTCTCCACATCCGGCGGGGTAGGCCAGCGCCTGCCGCCGCCATGATCGTGCCCGCGCGCGACGCGACCACGCCCGAAGGCAAGCCCGGCCAGACCTGTTGGACGTGTCGTGGATGTGTCGTGGACATGTCCTGCCCATCGCCGGCCTCGCACAACCCCCGGCCAGACATGCAGCGCGAAGAGGCGGCCGATTCGCGGCGCGTCCTACAGCCGCGGGTGACCTCGGGTGATCTCGGGGTGATCTCGGGGTGGTCTCGGGGTGGTCTCGGGGTGGTCTCGGGGTGGTCTCGGGGTGATCTCGGATGGTCTCGGATGGTCTCGGGTGATCTCGGGTGATCTCGGATGGTCTCGGGTGATCTCGGGTGATCTCGGATGGTCTCGGGTGATCTCGGGGTGGTCTCGGGGTGGTCTCGGGGTGGTCTCGGATGGTCTCGGGTGATCTCGGGTGATCTCGATCTCGGAAATGGCTCGCGCCTCGAGGACGCCGGCGAGGCGCATGGCGAGCCTACCGCACCTCGGCCGATCTCGCGTGATCTCGGGCGCTGTTTGACCGGCTGCTCGAGCCTTGCGTATGAACAGGGGACACGGCCCCATGTAGCGTGTCTGGCTGTCACTGTGCTGTCGTGCGATCGGGCCCCCGGGTATGTGCTGTTGGGTGAAGCCGAGCCCGAGCCTTCTGGAGCTCCTGGAGTGGCGGAATCAGTGCCGGCATCTAAGCGGTGGCTGGCCCTCCGGCGCCGCCCTCCTCGGCGGGCTGAAAGAGGAGCTTGACGGTGCCATGCAGCTGGCCGGCGGCGAACCGCTCCTGCAGCAGCCTTGCGGCGCCGAGCAGCATCGCCTTTGGTGGACGACGCGTCGGTTTTGGGTGACACGGGTTGATCAGGCGGCTGCGGCGGCGGGCAGCGGCGCCGTGTGGGCGTCGTGTCCGCAGGCGTGCATCTTACCGTCGGTGCGGCTGCGGAACGGACACTCGACCTCTTCGTGGATGGGGAGCGCGTCCATGTCTGCGCGCAGGCCCACGCACGGCTCCTTGCCTGAACCGATTGTGGCGACGATGCCCTCCTGGAGACCAAGTCTGGCGGTGAGAGCGGTCGGCTGTGAAGCGGTGGCGGCAGCCGACGATGCGCTCCTTTGCCACGGGGTACTGGTACGCGATGCCCAGCTCGTCAAGCTTCTCGCGCACGTACGCCGAGGTGCGCTGCAGGTCGTACAGCAGCTCCGGAATGCGATGCAGCTCGCGGCGGACGGTTATGGTGTAGTTGTCGATCGCCTTTGCAGAAGCCAGCGTCGCGGCGGGGGAGAGCTCTGCGGAACTCGTCAGCTTGGTGGAGTGGATCTTGGAGCCATCGGGCAGCGCCCAGGCCAGGGTGGTGACCACTAACATTCGCGCCAGGGTTCCAACTTTTTCCGGGGTATGGTATGCCACGCACAGTCTCGTCTCAATCGGCAAATTCGCCTTCGCCCGCTGCTCCTCGCTCTTCTCCGTCCACTTCCCTGCCGGCAGCCTCACCTCCATCTGGCGGAGGAGGCAGCATCCTCGAGGACAGACGAGACGAGACGAGCCGAGGCGGATCGTGCCGGAGAGCAGGAGGTGAAAGGAGGTCAGCAGGCTAGCACCACACTCATCTCCTCAAATTCCCTGTGTGGTGACGGCGTGCCGTCCTCCCATCCCTCCCTGCCTGACTGATCTTTTTCTTTGTCCGTTTTCTTTCTTTCTTTCTTTCTGAAACCTGCCCTCTTCCTCCTTTGTCCATGTTGGCGGACGCCATCCAGCACCATCCATGAAGCAAACACATAAAACTTACCTTGTCAAAATACCTTCCTTGGTTTGGGCGATTTGGGGTTTGTGTTTTGACGTTTTTCGCGTGACTCCGACATCACGAACGAACAGCCAAGACAAGGTTCCAGTCATGTGTGCCGCCGCCCCTGCCCGGCGTTCCGCTCCTGCGCGCCTCTACACCTAACGCGCCCCACCTCGCCAACCGCCACCTAACTCGCCCCACTCCCGCCGGCCTCCAACCACAGCATGCTCCGCCTCTCGCTGGTCGCCTTCGCCGTCGCGGCCACGATCGGGGCGCCCGTCCAGACTGCCAGCACCATCGCCAGCGCCGACGGCACGTTCGACGTCGGCGAGAGCCGCAAGATCCTCTCCAAGAACTCAACGAAGATCGCACACGACAACATCAAAGACCCGGTCCAACGTGGCCGCGCACTCGTGAACGGTGGGGACGCCGTGTCGCAGGACAAGTGGACCGACGACTACCCGTGGTTAGTTCGGCTCATGTGGAAAGACGATGTGTTTGACGCGTCGACCTGCTCTGGCACCCTCATCGACCGCGAGTGGATCCTCACGAGCGCGCACTGCCTGATGAAGAGGGACTCGAACGACAATGCCATCAGGAACGCACTTCCTGCACACTTCCCCCACTCGTTACCTGCCTTGTCCGATCGCCCTTCCATACACTTCCCCCTATCCTCCTTACCCGCCTTGTCCCGATCGCCCTTCCATTCTGTCTCATGTCGCCCCGTCACCACCCTCAGGGAGTCTAATTCCGCGTTCGACCGCTCGACCTGGTACTTCTACCGCTCCCGCGACTGCGGTCGGGACACAAACCTTGGGATCTGTGCCGACAATCTGGCGACAGCGATCAACCAAGCCGACGGCAACGCGGCGCGTACCATCGAGGCCTCGGACACCTACATCCACCCTAAATACAAGTCGGACGGGAACTTCGACATGATGCTACTCAAGCTCGACAAGCCGATGTATGCGGCGAAGCCGATTCCGCTCTCCTCCTCGACCCCGGTCGCGGGGGCTGACGACGCTTGGGTCGCCGGCTGGGGCAACAATGGAGGCACCTCACACAAGCTGCACGACGGCGAGATTACCATCACCCGCCGTTCGGCCAACGTGATCACCTCCTCCTACCAAGCCTCCGACGGCGTTGCTACTTGCTTTGGCGACTCGGGCGGCCCCTGGTTCCGACGCAACGACTGCGGCGACTACGAGCAATTCGGCGTTACCATGAGTGGGCAGAAGATCGAGCCCGAATGCACTGGAGAAGTGTATGCTGCGGCAATCGCGCCCAACCTCGACTGGCTTTGCGAGACCACCGACTCTGCGCTCACTGCGTGCAGCGGGGTTCAGGCCGGAGACACCTTGGTCGCGACGGGGCACGCGGGTGCTCACTCCTGGGGAGACTGGCAGGCGTGGGCCTCGTGCCCCGATGGCGAGTTTGCCGTCGCGATGCAACAGCGGGTCGAGGGCAACCAGGGCAGTGGCGACGACACGGGCCTCAACGCAGTCAGGATGCGATGCAGTGATGGCACGGAGATCACGTCGCACGGCGGCCATTGGGGCGGCTGGAGCGCTTGGTCCTCGTGCAGTGCATGCACCGACAAGATGCCCAACGGCGAGCTGTGGCACGATAGCGACGGCGACACATACGACTGCGCGTGGTACGGAGAAGGCTCCAACTGCGCCACCTATGGCAACGGCTATGCCAACAAGGGCCTCACCGCGAACGACGCGTGCTGCGCCTGTGGCGGCGGCGGGCCCGTCGCCTTTGACGGCTTCGCCATCAAGAACGAGCCCAACCAGGGCGGGGGCGATGACACCGGCGCCAACGCGGTGCAGATGTACTGCGGATCTGCCCCATCGGAACCCTCCACCAACGCAGGCTGGGGAGGATGGTCGAACCACGTCTCCTGCCCTGCGGGAAAAGGAATCTGCGGCTTCCGCATCCGCATCGAGGGACAAGGTGGCGACGATACCGCAATGAATGACATTGAGATGAAATGCTGCGACGCCCCGGATTCAATGCTCGGCCAGAGGGCGACCAGTCCGTGCACGGAGAAGCCTGAGAGCGGCATTCCGGATGGCGAATGCTGCAACCTTCTCCTTGTTTAGCGACCCTTACTCCTGCGAGCTTTGCAAAAACTACCATTCCGGCGCGCTCTCCGGGCCTGCCAACAACTGCGGAGTTGGGCAAGCGAAGTGTGAGACGCTCAGCCTTCACGATGGCGTCCTTTGCGATGGCGCCGAGCCACCCTGCCGCTTTTGTCAGTCGGGTGAGTCGCACTGGTACGGCGCTCTGAAGAAATGTGGACCCTTCCGCGACCCGATTGGCGGCAACCACCCGGACCACCACCGCTGCTCCCTCAACTCCGACTGCACGGGCAGGTGCGAGTGCAAGAACATCCTTGGAGAGTGGGAGTTTGGATTCTGCCCTCTCAGCTCCGGGTGGTGCTGCGGCGGCACTGGATCTCGGAACTGTGGGCGCTAAGGCGGCCTCACTCACTTGTCTAGTACGGAAGCCGCAAGCAGCTCCTCGAGAGCAGACTTCCAGGTGGGGATGCTGACTTCTCGCCTCCATCTCCCGTTTTGCTCGTTGGGGTTGTCAACGGGCCGGCCCGCCGCCACCGCAGGTGGGCTTGCATGGAACTTACCGACACCGACACATCCCGTTGCTGCCGTCGGTGCCAGCCGGGGGGGCGCTGACTTGCCCCCAACCATAGCCGCCTTTTGTTCGCGTCCCGCCGCCCAAGCCTTCGGATTCGATCCCTCATGTCTCGAACATGGACATGGCCCCCCGGGGCGCGCGATCGGCGTGATGGCCTTCTCTCTCCTTATTGTGCATTATTCTCGTTGTGTGAGCACTGTGGACTACACGTTATTCTTTGATGTGTATTAACATTTTGATGTCATTTTGCGTGAGCAGACAACAACACGACTGGGCACGAACGTACCCGTACGGGACTGGCGCGCCCTGGCAGCGCTATAACACAGGTACACCGCGGGAGGGGGAGCCGCCTGCAAGGCGTGGCGGGCGAGCTGGAGGCAGACGGCGGCGTCGTCGACGAGCGTGTTGGAGGGGGCGTGGAGTACGACTCACAGGAACGGAGCACAAGACCACAGTCTCCGTCGTCGACATTCTGACGCGGGGCATGGAAATTGCTGTCGCACGGCCGAAAACGCCGCCGCCTTCATCGCCTCGGGCCGGCCCGCCGCGTCACCGTCCGCCGCCTCGTTGCTCACAATCTCCGCCGCGTCGTCGACCACCGCCGAAGTCTCCCAGGGAGACGATGGAGAGGGGGGACGACACTGCTTCAGCAGCGTGCCTCGATCCTGTACCGTGTTTGTTATGACCCCACCCCCCTATGAACACACCAGCGAGGGAGGGCGAGACGAGCCCGTCGACCATGCGGAAATACCCTATCCCAGTGCCCAGCCTATACTCGCCGTACCCACCGTACTGTCCCAGGCCAAGGTCGGCCACGAGGTCCGTGCGAGGCATCATCGGGTCCCGGTTCTCGTAGCCGTACCCGCCGCGGCCGTACCCGCCCGACATCGGGCCGTACCCGCCGCCGCGCATGCCCATGCCGCCTCGCGACATCATCATGCTGCCATTCGGCCCCATCCGGATCGGTGTAAGTGTCTGAGAGTATTTGAGAAATTTGATCGTTGCGCACATGCATGCACATGCCTCTCTCTCGAAATTTACAGGTGCATACGCACCTCGACAATGTGCCACAAATGCCCCGCGTGCGGAGTGATGGGCCATGTATTGTGGGGAGAGAACTCGAACACGGGTGGCGCAAGCCGGTAAAGGCAGAGGGAAACAGGTGTGGGCACGGACCGGCTCAGTGCGGGGCTGCGGGCTGGGGTGGGGCTCCGAGGTGACCTCGGAAGGGCGCTGTCGATCGCCTTGTGGGGAGGCAGCGAAGCGCTTGCTGCACCACGGCACCGGCGCACCCGCGCGAGGCATGGGGGTCGGCTCGGCGCGAGAGGTGCGAGCGCGCCCCCTCGCAAAAATGGTACACTAAGGAGGGGGGCGCATCGGCCGCTGTTCAAGGTCAAGCGCCGGCGACGTCGCCATTACATGGGCTCGTCGTCGTCCTCCTCCTCCTCCTTCTCGTGGGGCAGGATGAGGTTGAGGACCAGGGCGATGATCACCTGCTCACGGCCAGAGGCCGTGACGAGACGCTCTCTCCCCAGCTGGAGGCAGCGGCGCGACGAGGACCGCGATGCCGTACGGCGTCTTGAGGATGAGGATGATGGACGTGCGCAGCGAGTCCATCCCCTTGTTGTACTTTTTGCAGCAGTTGCCGTTCTTGTTGGCGCACGTCTTGGTCTCGACCATCTAAGGCACGGTGGAGGCAAAGTCAATCCACACCGCACACACACACGAGGTGGCGGGGGCAAGGGCCAAGCAGCCTCGGTGACGGCGGGCGTGTACGTGCCGCCGATCAGAGTGCAGTCCGCCTCGCTGACGGTGATGGCATTGTTGCCGACGGCGCACGAGGACGGCGAGACCTCGGTCTCGACTTTGGGGAACTCGTCGCAGACCAGGTGGCGAGGCCACAGGCCTACGACCGCAACGAGCCGACAGT